TTGTCCCAGCCAGCCCTGCTCCCCTCCTGGCTGGTGCCCCCTCTCTCCCCCCCATAGATCAAGTGTGTCCAGTATGTTTTTGAAGCCACCTGGTAACCCTAATTCTGCTCTGTACCTCCACAAACAGGCGACTTCCCTGCACTGAGGCTCTGTGGACCTGGCTGCGCCAGAGAAAGGCCGTATTCAAAATGGCCAGGGGAAGACGAGCACAATACGCTGTGGACTTATTGGCCAAGATGGTCCTCTCTCTTCCCTCCAGAAGTGGGATGAAGGGGATTTGCTGAGCGGGGGAAGAGACCAGCTAGAGTGAGAACCAAACTTGAGAGCACTTTTCCTGCCTGGAATTCTGCTCCTCTGCAGAGAAAGCGCAGAAGAAGTCAGTAGGGCCCTGCAGTGATCGAGAGGTAGGTGCGTTCACACTGCCCTGGGGAGCAGCACCTTGTGTACTTGGCCTGAGCACACAGTATGCACGTGCACCTCGCGTAAACTGAGACCCCCGACCAAATGTCTTTTGCTGCGGTCTCCGGGAAGGGTGGATTTCCGAGCAAAAGAGCTGGGATTTCAGGGGCATCCTGCGACCCGGCACCTGCATGAGCTTGGCCTTGTGCTGAAGGAAACCCAGCATCCACATCCAGACCTACTCCTGTATCCTCCCCTCCTTCAGCTCACCTGTGCACCAGTGGTGGGGGGGACCGTAACATGCCTATATCCCCAGATATAAAAAGAATGAGCTTCTCAATCCAGTGAGCAAAAGCCGGTCTTTCTGGCCCTATGCAACCTGCAGGGCCATTGTTCGAATGCTAAAAAGAGAGACTCCCTGATAAGACACAATTGGAAAAAGTTACCTCTGTTCTGTGCACACATGAGGTGATCAGCTTCAAAGCCAACGCACAGAACAATAGGTGTGAAACAGCAGGGAAAGGGGAGCTAAGGGTTAGCTGGAAGAACCTGCTCTCTCTCTCTCCCTCTCCCTCAGAGATAGGCAGCAAAGCAGTTTGCATTTCCTTCAAAAGCCAGGCGTTGACAGGATTTAACTTGGCGCTGTAACTGCTTTAAGTTTTATGTCATTAGAGGTATGAGACAAAATCAAATGCAACGGCTCTCAAAACAGCCTCTCTCTTTTTTCCTAGCCGCCTCCTCTGTGTGTCGTCTTTGTGTGTATTCCAAGACCTATTTGCTGCCCAGTCTTGCTGTGCTAAGCCGGAACAATCCTTCACTAAGTATTTATACAGTACCTTGCACAACAGGGCCACAATATACATGTAGAATAAGAATAGGGAGGTCTCCCTACTTTTTACTCCTGTTACATTCTGGAAAGCCAACAGAGTTGGAGTCTATTCTGGTTCTTGCATCATCAATAGAATTGTTAACTACAGAAAGTTCCTCTGTGCAATCTGCAGGATTCGGATTTCAGAGCCAGAAAAAACCACCCTGATTTGACTCTCAGCTCCTGAAGAGAGGGGGTTTGCAGGGTCAGCAATTAGGGGTGCCATTTCGTTTGCTTGGGAACGAAACAAATTCAATTTAGAGACACTGAAACTTGGTGAGCTTGGCGCTCCATGCGGCCATTATTACTGTCACTTTTCAGAGCAGGCCAGTAAGTCACAAGTCAAAACCATCATAAACCAATAATAATATTTCTCTATCTTATTTACTACATATTTTAGAGAGTGCGTGCATCTGTGTATCCATCCATCTGAGAGTCCATTTCTTCAAGAACTTCTCCTAAATGGTACGAGCTAGATTCACCACATTTGGCAGGCAGCTTCCTCTTATTCTAACTTAAAGCAAGGGCAGGGTTTGGCTGTGCCAGGACACTGGGACGTGCCTGGAATTTGATTGTTTCTCATAAAATGGAAAGGGGAGGATTTGATGGGAGGGACGGTTATACTTTAGAATGACCACTGGGGGCATCAAGGGGCCAGAGATGGGGACTGGGACAGCTATAATCCCACTGGGCCAGCAGAGGGCAGGGGTGGAGTAAGGGACAGTTATCTGCTCTACGTTTCAGAGAGTTTTTCTGTTTGTTTCTCTGCACCCCTCCTCCAGCTTCCACGGCCATGGAGAGGCATTTCTCACCTGGCCCCCCGCTACTGTGGTGAGAAGGGGCTGGGACTATCCTCTCTCCCCGGAACAGCCTGAAAACGGAACCCCTCCTCTCCTGCCGCACCCCAGAACAATGATTTACATGAAAAAAACCAAAACGTTTTTGAGCTGAGGACCTGAGCGGCGCTGGGTACATCTTCCAGTATCTGTACATCAGTACATCTTCTAGGCTGTCTGGCTGATTTCTATGTCATGAGCCCACTTCTCTTCTCGTTTCATTGGCTGTGTGTTCAGTTGACGCTGAGCACTTGGCTGGTGACGGTAGGGATGTGGAGAAGCCTTTTTTGTTATTCTGATAGCTGCAGTGATGTGGAGAGAGCAACATTTGTCGTCTCTCCTCATCTCAAGGGGAAAGATGATTGCAGCTCGGTAAGAACATGCTAGTAGGGTGAAGTGAGGATGGCAACTTGCTTTAGTAGATTTAGACTCATTTGATTTTTATACAGTATGTGAAATGCCCGAACAGTTGTGAATAGAAATAACGAAGACCGTCATGGCCAAATTACCTGCTCAAAAATGGAGCTAGAAATCAGGTAGGGCCAAGGCCACATGGTCTGGCAGGACATTGATTGTACAGGAATCGGGCACATGACCCTACTAGATGTTCCTTCCAAAGTGCTGCAGAGAGGCAACAAAGTATCAGGGACCCTGCCAGTGTGCCCAGGTGGAAAATGCCTTCCAGACGTCAAACCTGGCGATCGATTTCACTCTAGGAATGTTAGCAAAGCTTTCTAGAACATGGCTCTCGCATTGGTCCATCTACGCCAGCAGCTCATCCCCAACACCTGAATCTGGCCAATGTCTGAAGCTTCAGACAAAGGTAAAAACTCCAGAATAGTGCCCACTATACAGGAGTGGGAGGGGGAGAAATTCCTCCCTGGCTCCCCGGCACAATTTTTAAAACACATTGAATTACTGTATATTCCAGTTATTTTTTACCTCTATGTCCTTAACTACTTGCTCTTTCTAAATGTGTCCCAAGACCTTGCATACAACTGAGGTCAAACTAAAAGGCTTGTAAGTCTCAGAGGGGTAGCCGTGTAACTCAAACAACTTAAAAAGCAACGAGTGGTCCCGTTGCAGCTTGGAGATGAAACACAGAATACAGATGGTATCATGAGCTTTCGTGGGCACAACCCATTTCCTCAGAGTAAGGGGCCCAGGGGTACAAATATATAACAGAAAAAGTGGGGAGAGGAGGAGGGAAAAAGAGAAAAAAAGACCTGTCAGTTAAAGTGTCCCTGCTAAATGAGGCTAGTAGAGTGGGCTGTACTAATCCTTAGCTTTTGGTGTCATTTGGGTGTTGAATATAAGGGCCATCCAAGAAATATCTTTGTTCAGTCCCTGGGTAAACGTGTCACATTTGCATATGAAGGCCAGTTCCGTAGTCCCTCTCTCCGGTTGGTTCCTGAAATTACTTTGTAAGAGGATAGCCACTTTTAAATCCATTAATGAGTGCCGGGGCAGGTTAAAATGTTCCCCAACAGGTTTCTGCGTGATGGATTTCCACCTCGGATGTGGTAATTTCTACTCCCATATCCTGTTTCCATTATCCACCCTGCCACCCCCACAAGCCTCCTCCTTACTCTTATGAAAAACTCAGGCACTGTATCCGTTGAGGCGTTGGGCCAGCCATGCCTAGATTATCTTTAACCTCATGTAGCTGCATGGGCTTGTTCCTTATGTTCACCAGCAAGTGGAGCCAGAGAGTCACTTTTGGGGAGACAGCCTTGTCTTCAGTAACTCACTTGCTGTCAGAAGTCAGGGGACCTGACTTAAAAATGCCTTGCTTACAACGTAGGACATAAGCATAGCAAAGTGTCACAACGCTCTGAAAAATTGCCAACTTTCTCATTTTCACCATAAAATAAATCAATTGGAATAGAAGTATTGTACTTACATTTCAGTGTACAGTATATAGAGCAGCATGAACAAGTCCTTGTCAGAAAGTTTAATTTGCCCTTGCTTCACTAGTGCTTTTTATGCAGCCTGTTGGAAAACGAGGCAGGTATCTAGAGGAGTTGATGTTCCCCCCGTAGGCCTCTATGTACCCTCAGGGTCATAGGTACCCTAGGCTGAGAACCACGGCCTCTTTTGTGTGTGAACTGTGAATTCTATTTGCTGTCTTTGGGCCTGACCCAAACCCCATGTAGATGCTCGGGGACCTCATTGGGCTTTGATTCAGACCTTATTTCTCTCAGAGTCTGTCTACAGTGCAGTTTTTCCGGAAAAACTACACTTAAGTCCACACTGAAATTGTGTTCTTTGGACAGAAAGTCGAAAGAATGCAGGGGGTTTTCTGACAGAGGTAAACCTCTTTCTACAAGGAAGAAGCCTTTTTCTGAAAGAGCTATTTTGGAAAAAGGTGTGTGTGGACAGGGAAGAGGGGTTTTTTTAAAAGAAGAGGCCTCCAGGAAAAAGCACAGGTGCCCTGGTGACCACTCCAACTATAATAATCACAGCTCAAATGCGAGATAGCAGCCAATCAATGTGGATGCTATCTTTCGAAAAAGCACATCCCCTTTTCAGTGCGCTTTGGCAGTGTGGATGCTCTCTTTCGAAATAAGTGTTTCTGGAAGATCTCTCCTGGAAGAGCTTCTTACGAAAGAAGCCTGCAGTCTAGATTTAGCCTCAGAGATGATTCGTTAGTGACTTTAATGATTAAGGTTGGGCTTTCTAAAACTAGGTAAGGTAATTAAGCACCCCAGCATCACTGAAATATTCAAATACTATTTTCCAGTGTGTTTGGGGAAGCTATTTCGTGTGCATTGGAATTCCCCAATCTTGACTGCTTCTCGTCTGTGGACCTATAGCTACAGCAGCATGTGGCCGGGCATCCTTACATGTGATACCATTTTCCTGTAAATGCCCATTGTCTGTATATTGTCTGCCAGTGTTTACTTCTGCAAACTGCTGATCTCGACAAGTTCCAGTCCTGTTTGACTTCCTTTTTTCAGATCAAGAAAGAGGGGAAGAAAGGGCTGAGACGCAGACTCGTCTAGGAATGGCCAGTGCCTGTTTATCTCACAGACGTCTTCAGCTTCCCACGCAGCTTTGCAAAGACCCAGTCCCTGGGCTATGGATTGCCGGCGCAGCCACAGAACACGAGGGGCCGTGGTTCTCAGCCAAGGGTGAACCTGTCTGGGCGGGAAGGTGGCAGGGCATTCATCACTGGTGCGGGCTGCTGGTTTCATTTTCGTTCTCTGTGCTGCTCTTCCCAATGAATCACTGGGCTCTGAATGCGTCCCTACATGCCCCCACCGTGGGTACCTTCCTGCAGAGATCTCGGTTGTGCGGCAGAGTGACGGGCTCCAGTGTCTGCCCTCGCCTCAAAGCACCAGGTGCAGTTGTCTGAGCTGGCACAGAGCCCAGCACCAGAGCAGGAGACGTCAGGGCAGCATCAAGAACCACACTTCACAGGTGAGCCCAGCCCCCCCAGTGTGGGCAAAGCAGCCCCCCTCCAGTGCCTGGGGAGGAGGAAGTCTGCCTCTGGCTTGTTCTTCTTCACTGGCCCAGGCCTGTCAGCAGCGGGGGTGGAAATTACGCAGGGGCCCCGCGTTTCAATGGGGCCTTGAGCTCCTGGCTGCCCCCTTTGAATTGTTGTGGGAGCACCCCTCTGCGCGGCTCTGAGGGCTGGGGGGGGAGGGCCCAGCACTGTGCTCTGGGCAATGCTAGGGATTGACTGCCCTTGGCCCCGCCCTTCTGCCCCAGGCTCCACCCCTTCCGGGGGCATGGAGCCAGGCCCCCAACCTTACCCCCGGGCCTGTGGTGGCCGTTGGCCCTGCTGCATTGGCCCTTTGAAGGCCCATGGCTCTGTGATCCCACTGGCAGTAGTTCTCAGCCTGGGATCAGTGCGCATTGACCTGGTTGGGGGGAACAGGGAACAGGGCTGGGAGGTGTCTGGGGGGGGGTAGCAGGAGGTGCAGGGCTTGGGAGGAAGTGGTGACCCAGGGCAGGAGTGTGCAGAGGGGTTGGGCGGTGACGGTGGGCGTGGGGCTACAGGGGGTTGGGGTGTGAGAAAGGGGCAGCTCTGGCCGGGTGGCGCTTACCTAGGCAGCTCCCAGCCAGCAGCCCAATGGGACCCTCTGCCGGGCTCCCTGCCTGCCGCAGTCCTAGAGCTCCGAGTGATTGCTCCATGTGCCTCTCTGTGCCACTGGGGGGGAGAGAATCTTCACGCACTGCCCCTGCCTCCAGCACAATCTCTCCACTCCCATTGGCTGCTTCCAGCCAACAGGAGCTGAGAGATTGTGATGGGGACAGAGGCAGCCAATGGGAACCAACCAATGGGAGCTGAGCGATTGTGCTGGGGGTGGAGCAGTATGCAAAGCTTGCCCCCTCAACTCGTGCAGAGAGCTCGAGCGGCTGCTTGTTCCTGCCTGAGGGTCCCAGTAGGTGGCCGTGGGCCGGATTGAAAGGCTTTGCTGGCCAGATTTGGCCTACGGGCCGGATCTTACCCACCCCTGCCTTAGTGCATGAAGATTTTCAGCGACCGTATAAACATGTAGCTTTAAATGTATAAGCAACAGGAAAAAAAAGTGTTTCCATCTGGAAGTGCACAGACGAAAACCAACACAACCTCGGATTGTTGCATACGTAGCCGCTGCAGGCTGGCTTTGTTTTCGCATCACATAAAAGCAGCTGTAAGTGGAAGCAGGGTCTGAATAAACTCTCCCTGACATCTAGCGATGAGCTGAGGAAAAGCATTTCAGGACCAGAGCTCGTCTGCACAGTCATGCCTCCTGGGCCTAGGCGTGTGGCCGGTTTGCCAAAAGGATGCCTTTGGCCTGGCGCTGGATTGCAGATCACGTCAGTACCGACAGCAGGGTAATTCAGTGCTATCCTTATCATGTGCATAAGGCAGCACCAAACAGCCAGGTGCAGAGGTGCACTCGCCCCGCCGACTGCTTGATGCCCCAGCCCTGTTCTGGGTGAGAGGAGAAGCCCTGTGAACACCCCTTGGAACTCAGGGTCTTTGCTAACCAAGGATCACTACCTGTAAGTAGAGCGGAGTGAAGGGAAAACGGGGTGGTCAAAGGGTCATGCCTTTGTGGGATTGGCCCACCACTGTTGGGAAACTGAGGCAGAGGGCACTACCCAGCCTGCTGTGAGGCCAACTTCACTTGGGTTGTGTGCATTTCAATGTGGCTGTGGTGTTTTCCCAAACAAATGCTGGTTCCCTTTTCTCACGTTTTGTTCTCTTGTGTGATGCACAGATTTAGTGCTTCTGAGAGGGGAAGTGTTGGTTTTTAGAGGCGCTCCAGGGTGGTGGTAACTTTTCCCAGATTACTAGGTGGTGGCTCAAACTTGGTTCTGTTTGTGCTGTTAAGAGAAACCCCTAAATACCGAAGCCAGCGGTCATTGCTGCCAGTTTCCCTTGGCAGAAGGGTTACCTGAGCTTTTGGCTTCATTAACATCTCACAAGTTTAACAGCATTTTTATAACTTCTCATCAAATACAACGTGTAAATCCCAATTTTAAAATAAAACATTTGCAAACCTTAAAATACAATGGGTTTTCTGTCTGTGGCCTTACGCTAAAATAAGGGTTGTGTCTATCATTGTGGTTTTATGAGCCAGAACAAAAGTCTGGGCCTAGAGGGAACTGATCAGTTAGAAAGAGGGATTATGCTGTAATAATTGGTTCTAAAAATGTAACTTACCTGTGAGCTCAACTGTAAAACAGACACGTTATTTCATGAAATAGCCTGTAATAACGCATGCAAATGGCGGAGTTGCACAAGGAATGCACAAAAACGAGATCAGTCCAAACAGAAAGGCTCCTCGCACAATTCCAGGGCGAGGTTCACATCTTTTTGGTGCACAAGTAAAGTGTAAGAGCAGCAAGCGGTGAACCAAAATTGGACAGTAGGGCTAATTGGAGGACAAAATAATGGGGGGCAGGGGCACCAGAAGGGGGAGCCAGGGAACTGTGGCGCCCCTCCCGACTGTTTGCCAGCTGCAAGAGTGGGGAAGAACGAGTGGGGGTGGGGTTTTAGGGGAAGAGGCAGTGTAGGCGTGGGGCTATGGGGAAGGGATGATGTGAGGGCAGGGACTTGCGGACAGGTCCTGGAGGGAATGGGTGGGGCTGGGGCAGGGTCTTGGGGGGAAGAGTCAGTGTAGGGCCACGATTTGGTGCTCGTGGCCCTCCCACTGTTAGAGACCTTCTGTCGCTCCTGCGGGAGGGGCTAGTCCACCTATGGCTCACATTTTGGATCCTTAAAGAAAAAAAATTGGGGGAGAAAAACTTGACTACTGGAGGGAGCTTCGTCCTCATGGGTGCCACCCTACTATGTCCTGGGACTCAGGGTCTTTGTTATCCTAAGCCGAAAAAATGTCCCAAGCAGACTGGGCCAAAAACCCCAAGCCAAATGACATTGTAAAACTTTCCCTGCCCCTCCCCACCAGCCTGTCCTTTTCCTTCCCCACCTTTCCTTCTGTGTGTAACCCTTCTGCCAGGTAGCGCCGGCAACAGCCAGGTCTGGGCTCAATATCTAGGGGTTCCTTTTCATCCATCTCGAGCCCCCACCCAATAGCCTGGGAAATTCACACATCCTGGGCACCTCCGAGAGGCAAGGCTTCCCCATTCACACACTCAGAGTCTGAGCATAGAAAAGAATTGTTTAATGAGAGAGAGAGAGAGAAGTAACATGGCATTAGCCTAGGAAAACACCATACCCAGAGTTCATAACCAACCCACGCATGAACAGCCCAGCTCAAATGGATTGATCAATGTCCTTTGCCTCTCAGGGTCACAAGTCCAGCAATGGACATGTCCCATTCACATGCCCAAGCTTTCTCCGTACCCCACTCACAGTAGCTGCCCATGGTCAGGGCAGATCAGAGTTCAGAGGTGATTTTCAGCGCTCACCTCCCACCCTTGGGGGAGGTGGGGATAGGAGGCATCTCACCCACTCAGTTGGCCTCTCGCTGCTGCTCCTGTCAGCCACTCCCGCCAGCTGCCCCGCTGGCTGCCTACCCCTGTTCCTGCCACCCACCTGCCAGCTGCTCCCGCCAGCTGCCCTGCTGGCCGCCTGCTCCTGCCAGGACCGCTTGTTTCCACCAGCTGCTGCTTCCACAATGGGTCTGGCTTTGGGCTAAACCTAGTGATTCCAGCTCTTTGTCAGTTTCTCAGTGATTTCAGCTCTTGGCCCACCACCTAGGCTGGCTATCACTGGAATAATATTTCAGAATAACTAAGACCGCTTATGGAGTCTGTTTTAAGTCTATCCTTAGAACAGCAGGGGAGGCAGGGGGAGCTGCTGCTTCCACAATGGGTCTGGCTTTGGGCTAAACCTAGTGATTCCAGCTCTTTGTCAGTTTCTCAGTGATTTCAGCTCTTGGCCCACCACCTAGGCTGGCTATCACTGGAATAATATTTCAGAATAACTAAGACCGCTTATGGAGTCTGTTTTAAGTCTATCCTTAGAACAGCAGGGGAGGCAGGGGGAGGTTGAACCAGTCTTACAGCTGACACCTGGAGAGCATGTAGCTGCTGGTTCGAACTTCTTCCCTCTCCCTCCCCCCATCCAGTTCACTTGAGTCTGGAAGGGGGAGGCTTGTCCATCCAAGACTCTTATCAATGGTGGTGTCTCTCCTGCAAGCACTGATGTCATATTTTACAATTCCTACATTTAGGGTTAACATGGTTTGTGACCCCACAACAGCCAAATTAGTTACAATACACTGCATTCCATTCCAACAATTGACCATCCATCAGGCCTATAGCATTGGCTGAACTGGATTTACACAACCACCCCTAGGATCTCTTTCCCATTCCAACATGAGCTGTATTTACATATCAAAAGTTGATTAACTTGCAGGGCTAAATGACTGAGTGAGCATAACCACACCCAGGGCTCCTTTCCCTTTTCAGCTGGCTGCATTGGAAGCAGTGGTTCAGACCCTGCTTACATGGGTAAGCAGAGTCTGGCTTAGCCAGTCAAGCGAGTCAGAAGGTAAATTTTGCAACATGGCTGTGCCCTAGAACCAAACCGATGCAATGCCCGAAAGAGTCAAATGCTGCTAAAAGTTTGCCAGGTCCCAAAGTCTGGTAAAACTACCAGTGTTTTTCCAGCAGTAAAAGTTGCAAGTAACAATCCACCGCAGAGACGGAAGTGGCATTTTTGATCTTTGCTGCTCTGTGCTTTCCCCTCTGTGTTTCTTTGTCTTCTAGGGAATAGGATGGAACTTTAACAGCTTCTGCATTGACAGCTCAAGGCCCTATCAACTAATTCCCCCCGCCCCCTTAAATCCCCTGTTATTGTAATCTTTAATACCATCTAGCAGACTGTCCATCAGGGTTGTTTTAATCTGAAAACCTCTCCAGCTAAAATGTAAACAACCCCAAATGTAGTTTTAAAAGCCTGTCTTAAAGTGTTTGGAATGTAAGAGTTTACTCTTCCTATGTATTCTAACAGAAAAGGATTTTTAATGGTATTTTTGCCATGGTACTAAGCAAACTGAAGTCTTGGCATCCGAAACCCAAAATCTTGTTTAACGTTAAACAGTGAGGCTACGTCTACACTGGCCCCAAATTCCGGAAAAGGGATGCAAAGCAGGTAAGTCAGCATAGGGAAATCCGCGGGGGATTTAAATATCCCGCACAGATTTATATAAACATGTCCGCCGCTTTTTTTCCGGCTTGGGGAAAAGCCGGAAAAAAGCATCTAGACTGGCGCGATCCTCCGGAATAAAGCCCTTTTCCGGAGGATCTCTTATTCCTACCTGAAAGTAAACTCTTACATTCCAAACACTTTAAGACAGGCTTTTAAAACTGAAAGTAGGAATAAGAGATCCTCCGGAAAAGGGCTTTATTCCGGAGGATCGCGCCAGTCTAGATGCTTTTTTCCGGCTTTTCCCCAAGCCGGAAAAAAAGCGGCGGACATGTTTATATAAATCTGCGGGGGATATTTAAATCCCCCGCGGATTTCCCTATGCTGACTTACCTGCTTTGCATCCCTTTTCCGGAATTTGGGGCCAGTGTAGACGTAGCCTGACAGTGTTGTGTTATCTCTTTTGGCCCATGTAATCCATCTAATTTAACACAGCAGTTTTGGTCCCCACAATGGGGCCTAACGGGTTAATACATACCTAGAAGCTAATATCTTAGCAAACACGCAATTGGTTTTAAAGCGGATTTTAAAACAATAGTTTTAAACATCTTTACATGTGTTACGCTAGTTATGCTAATAAGCAACAAAGCAAAACCATTACTGCTTGTACTTTAAAAAAAGCTAACAGTTGTTTTAAACTAAAGAAAAACATTATTTTAAATTTTTGAACAAATGCTTTGATTTGTTTCCTTTTTCCCCTTTATTTTAGGAGTTGTTTGTATAGACTGCAAACACGTTAAAGGTTTAATGCAAAAGCATTTTTTTAAGAGGGCAAGTAGTAAAATAGTGTTTTAAATTGTTAATCTTTTACTGAAATAACATCTCAAATTACCCCCCTGTGGTAACAAAATGCCCACTTAATTAAAAGCTGATACTGCATTAACGATACAATACATTTCAAGCCACCAAAATTTATTGCAACACCAAACTTTACTTGCAACCCCAGGGAGCCAGAAGCTGCATTTTTGACATTTGCTGTTCTTTTCTCTCCCCTTTGTGTGTCTTTGTCATATTTTGTCTTCTGGGGAACAGCTCGTTTCAACTAACTTCTTTTCTTCCTTCTAAAATCTCTTTCCAGCTAGAGGAAAAAGAAATCGGTTGCAGAAATAAGTTTCACTTGCTATTGTATAATTAAAATGCTGTGACTGGGTGTGTCTGCTTGCTGCAGATGTCTCATGAGATGGAAAGACCCAACGTCCAAATCCACCCCCTCCTCCCCAAACCTCGGGAGAGAAAGGATTACTACATGGCCTACCTCGTCATGGCCGTCTGCGTCTTTATCCTGTACCTCCTAGAGCATCCCTGGAACTATATGGCCGAGTATCTCACCCTCCACGTCACGGCCCAGCTGATCAGCGCACTGCTCAAAGGGTTTTGCAGCTTTGCCGAAGAGATCTGGCACGTGTCATCCAGGTGACTGAGTTTCCAGCCCTCTGCTCTTGAGAGCCATGCTCCGGATGATGCTTGTAAATGGTGCAGCAATGAAGGGAAGGAACTAATCCTGGGGGAGGAAGGCAGGTGCCTGCTTCCTACTAGCGATGTAGGAGCTGTAAAGGAATCCAAAGAGGCATAAGCTTTGCAATCTGGTCTCTGCGGTGGTTTCCCATTCGCCCTCTCTTCTGTCTGTTGACGTCCCTCAGGTTTCTTTCCTTGGTCCCTACCTCTCCTCTCTTGTCCCTTTTAGCAGCTCTGCAGATGCCCTACCCATAATACTCAGGCAGGAAGATGCAAGACTATTAAGTCTCGTGCCCCTGTCCCACCCGCTATGGGGGCTCTGCCGGAGACGTCTCTGGAGGGCTCTCTCACGCATTCCTGGGGAGGGTCAGGGTCTGCTTCCTTCCAGCCAGGTTCATGTCTAAACCCACTAGGTCTCAGATGTCCCTGGATGTCACGTCACCTCAGTGAAGCCAGGCTGCCCAGGCCTGCTCCAGCTGAGGTAACCCCTCCCCCCCGGCCACCATTGTGGGGTCTCCGTAGTAACAGCACCCCATGGGGGGCCGGATTGCCTTCCCCAGGAAACTCTCCAGCACGGGCGTGTGCGCAGGGGGGACTATGTCACTGCCCCAGCGTGGGCCCATGTGCACCCTGCTGGCCAAGCCCCAGCCATTTCGAGGGCCCCTGGGTGGGGGATCAGTGCGGTGGGGTCTCTCCTCAGGGCAGTGGGGCGCTGGGCCTGGAGATCTCTCTGTGTGCACAGACAGACCTGCTTCCCCAGGAAACTCTCCAGCACGGGCGTGTGCGCAGGGGGGACTATGTCACTGCCCCAGCGTGGGCCCATGTGCACCCTGCTGGCCAAGCCCCAGCCATTTCGAGGGCCCCTGGGTGGGGGATCAGTGCGGTGGGGTCTCTCCTCAGGGCAGTGGGGCGCTGGGCCTGGAGATCTCTCTGTGTGCACAGACAGACCTG